ATATCCTAGATTTTATAGATAAGGAAATGGAATCTCAGAGAAGTTAAATAGTTTGCTCAAGGTCATGCTACTAGGGACAGAGTCAGTATTCAATTGAGGTTCGTCTGACTTTTTTATCAAGAATCCAGATAGGGGATCGTATCAGCCAGGCCCAGTGCAATTCAACCAGGATCAGTTGAATGTCCTGTGCTACGTACTGTGAGGAATAATAGAATGGCAAAGGCAAAGTCGCTGGCCTCAGGGAATGCCATCAATAAGGAGAGGGAGAGCAGCAGGTTTGGTGGCAACTAGTGGTGTTTCTCAAAGTTTTTACCAACGCACCTCCAAGGGCAGAAAAGGTTATTCTATAATTCAGGGGATCTGCTCGTGTGACCTCAAATGACAGCAGTGGGCATGGCATATCTTTGAAGAATTGTCTTAGGTTGAAAAATATATATCGCGTTCTGCTCCGTAATATATCCATGCTGTATTGATGTAAAAATCAATTTAAAAATTACTTACCATTGGGATCCCTGGGTGGCGCAGCAGTTTGGTGCCTGCCTTTGGACCTGGAGACCCGGGATCAAATCCCACGTCGGGCTCCCGGTGCATGGAGCCTGCTTCTCCCTCTGCCTGTGTCTCTGCCTCTCTCTCTCTCTCTCTGTGTGTGTAACTATCATAAATTAAAAAAAAAAAGTAAAAATTACTTACCATTGACTAGAATGGGTGCTCCCAGGAGATGCAAAATTTTCTCTGGGTGATTTAAGGTACCCCTGGCACATCATACTGCTGTGAAGACTTACAGGATGAGTCAGAAAAATAGCAACCCAGGAAAGCAGATGGTGTAGTTCCATGGTAAAGACTGGCAGGCTTGAGACTGAGGAAGAGCTGATATTTGGGTTCAAAGGCAGGCAGGCAAGTGGGAGTTTTCTCTCGGTATTTTAATTCTATTCTAGCCTTCGACTGATTGGATAAGGCCCATCCACATTAGGGCAATCTGCTTTACTCAAATTTAAATATTAATCTCATCCAAAAGCAGCCTCAAGGAAACACCCAGAATAATATTTGACAAATATTGGGACACCTCATCATCTAATCAAGTCAACATATAAAATTAATAATCCCAATCCCAAAACAAAAAAAAATTAAAATTAAAAATACATCAAAATGTCTTAAAACAAAAGGTCTAATATTTTAAAAGTAGAAGGAAATTGCCTATAGATGATGAGAAAGCAAATCAGACCTGGTATAAATAATGAGATTCTGAACTTGGAGACTGATGCCATGCCTGGATAAGAGTTTGGAGGTCTTGGGATGGGGGTGAGTGTATTTTTCAAGTAGGAGGGACATGAATAATCATGACCAAGAGTGTGCACAGTAGTAGGTTAAACGATTAGCTCCAGGTCTTCACTCCCCTCGGGATCCATACTGCCGTATGACTTTGTAGCTCTTTCAAGGGATCCCCTGTGCTCCTTATCTTTGGCCTTCACCGTCTGAGTGTCCTGAGCCAATGGGATATTCATAAGTATGACACAAACTGAGGCCTGAAATATGTCTGTGCTGATGAACAGACGCCGTCCATGCCTTGGCACAAGCCCCAGCTGAACCCAGAGTCCATCAGTCGACCCCACCAACCTACAGGAATGTGAACAAGAAAAATACAGCTGTACTATCATACCTCCAGGGCATGAGTGCAATGAAATGAACATCATCCGGGTGCCTCGGTGGAGGGCCCTGTGCTACCTGCTGCCAGGAGTGAAGAAATGGCAACCACTGAGCTCCTTCTAGGTTGTTAAGTACTGAATTTTGGGCCAACTAGTTTCACAGAAAGCCTAACTGATCCTCCTAACTTAAAATACTGTTCTTTTGTTCCATAAAGCCATGAGTACCTACCTCCTCCATACCAAGATCTTCTGGGAAAATGGTTGTAAATAAAACGGACCTGCCACCCGATCTCCCAGTGCTTATAGTCATGAATCTATCATTCTTTGTGTTAAAGAGGAAAATAATTCTTTCATGTTGAAAATAATTGCCCTCCACCATCGACTGCTTTTAAAATCCAACTCAGGTCTTGGAAGTATTCATGGTTATAACATTTCAGGAAAGAGCCATGGTTCAGAAACTAGACAATGTGCAGAGTTTGGAGGTTTGTTTTTGTTTTGTTTTGTTTTGTGACAATCTGAGCAGTATAATTAAGAAATATGGTGGCTGAATGCAAGAAATAGTAAAGTGGCTTTCTGAGCATATGAACGTGAGTGTGTGTGTGTGTGTGTTTGCACGTGCATAGGCATATTGAGAATCTCAATTAAGTGGCATCATCATCTATTCATTTATCCAACTGCAAAACCTGTGTTACCTTTGACTCATCTTTTTCCAAATGTTCCTAATTGTCCCTGGAATATGTAAATCCCTCTCTCATGCCATCATGCTTACCAAGCCTCTACCATCTGCCCCTGAATTATGAGACAATAGCATCTGAATACGTCTCCGGAGCTTTGCTCTGTCTCCCGTCCTTGCTCATCCTACAACAGAGAGATTTATCTGAACCATAAAATTGACCTTTAACTCCCAGGCGTGATGCTTTTGGATGTTCTCTTGCAGAATGGCTTCCGAGCTTTCCAGTCCACAATTATTCCCCCTCTGCTCCCTCACCTCCTACTACTCTCCCCTGCAGACCCACGCACCAGGAAGTAGAGCCGTCATTAGGGTGGGAATTTTGGAGATGCTGGCTCCTGGGATCATTTAAGTGCACCTCTGTAAATGCTGTGTCTTAGGAATCTCACTTGTTCACTTCCTCAGGGAATCTCCACCCTGGACTTCATGCTGTGCCACGTGTTCCCTTTCCTGGCTGGTACTGTTGCCTTTGCTGGAATATCATTTCTACCTTCCTTTTCCTATCAATCATCATTCCTATATTTTAGATTTGGCTGAACTGGGCATTTCCTGGGCATTGCCCCTCAGGTTGTGCAAGTTTACTCATAGCTTCTGTCTTTCTGTAGAAGCTCTGGGCTTACTTTTATCTTAGCACTTAGCGTATTAGGTCAAAATTGCTCATTTCCTCTACCCCTTGACCCTAAAATCTCTTAAGATGGAATATTTTGTCACTCAGCTTTGGAGCATAAAGTGCTATGTCAGTCATACCTTCCTTTTTTTTTTTTTTTTAAATGGAAGGAGGGCCAGGGGGAAAGGGAAAGGGAATCCCAAGCAGGCTCCACACTCAGCTTAGAGCCCAATGCAGAGCTCAATCCCACAATCCTGAGATCATGACCTGAGCCAAAACCAAGAGTCAGCTGTGAACCTGACTGAGCCACCCAGGCACCCCATAGGCCAGTCATTCTGGAAACTCTCCCTCTCCCTAGTTCCCCATAGGTAACCCATCACTAAATTATGGTCCCATTACCCCCAAATGTTTTTCAACACCAGATCCCTCTGTCCATCTCCATGCAAACCACAAAGCTGTCATCAGCTCTTACCTGCACTATTAGAACAGCTTCTTACTGGCCTTCCTGTGTGCAGTAGCACAGCCCTCCCTCCAGACCACCATCCTCATTTCTTCTTTTCATTGAAGCCAAGATAATCATCTTTGCAAAATGCAAACAGGCTCTTATGCCCCCAAACTTTAATGGCTTCTTATTGTCCTTAGGAAAAGAATACATCTCCTCAGGTTGTCCTAAAGTTCTCCCTGCATACTGTGGCTGTGTCCGATCTCTGTAGCTAATCTCACCCAACTTGTGCCATTGTTTTTCATATTCTGGCTTTCTTTCAGTTCTAGAGCATTCCATGCAGTCCTCCACCCACTGGTCTGGACACAGGCAGGTCTCTCTCACTGCTTGGAACGTTCCACTCCCTCCATTATTTCATCAGATTAACAGTTCCTCCTCCTCATGTGAATAGAGGAGCCAGTAATTCAAACCTCTTTTATGCCTTGATCTAGGCCAAACTCCTTGCTATTCATGTTCCTAATTCTATGTTCCTTTCCTTCAAAATACTCATCTCAATTCATAATGTTTCCGGGCAATTATTTTTGTCTAATGGATCTAATTTTCTTGGTGCTCATAAAAAACATTTTATTATGGAAATGTTCAAGCATGTACAAAGTAGAGAAAATATAACGAATCTCCATCTCTCCTCCTGCTTTAACAATTAACAACACACACACCTTTTATCTTTTCTATAATTTATACTGCCCTACTTCCTCCCCAAATATCATATTCTACCCTTAAATACCTTATTCTATATCTCTGAAAATAAGGACTCTTTATCTTAAAAAAAAATCCCTAAAATATTTTCACACTCTCACACTGCCAAACATTAATGAATTTCTTAAAATTATCCAATATCCCATCATTATTCAAATGTTGTACGAGATCTTTATTTAATTTTTGACTTCTCATCGTATAGAGGACAGGGACAATCAGCCTGCCACAATGCATGCCACATAGTAGATAGTCACATATAGCTGGACAAGTGACTGAACGAATTATTATTTAATGAGTATTTATGAACTGGACACTGGAGTTTAAGGAAATCTGGGGAGTAAGTACCCAAAAATGACGAGTTAAATAAGCCTTCACTACTTTCCTCACTTGCTGTGGCCTCAACCTCCTCTTCAGGTAGCATTCTTGAGCTTTGGGGGCAAGATGGCACGCTGTCCCTAGGGGATTTACTTTTATTCTTCCCCTTGTTCTCTCGTTGCCATTCCTAAAGAGCACATGGTATCTATCAGTAGTGTCCACTGGGCAGCGTGGCTGAACTGGGCATTGCAAGGGTACGGGGTTTGGTCGGGAGGCTTTGTGTTTCTGTGCAGACACTTGATCACTGGCTGAGCACATTATTAAGTATCTCAAGGCTTGTCTGATCTCACCATTGGGGAGGAGAGCTGTTACAGTCAAATTTCATCCGCGGAAAGAAAAACTTTGATGCCATTGCTTCTCTTTTCTTTTCATTTTTTAAATATGTAGTTTATATGATATTTCTTATACAAATAGTACTAGTTGTGATCTTTTTTTTTTTTTTTTAGAGAACTCAGGGTCTATTTATTAGGAAGGAGATGTCAGTGCTTTATCAAAGATGAAGAGGTCAGAGAGAGATGGTGGGATAAAGGCCTCTCAGCTGGGACATTTCTTGGCCACAATAAGAACAGCAGAAGGCACAAGTCCCAGCTCCTGCAGAGGCCGTTCCATGTCAGCCTCTGAGAAGGCCCGCCGGGAAAAGCCACTGAGCAACTGCACAGGGTCCTGGTCTCCCCCAGGCTCTTCTCCACGGTGGAGCTCCACATAGAGCCTCACAGCGGCCAGCTGTTCCCATGCCCGGAACATCTGGGTCAGTGAAGTCCCATCTGGCAGCCTGACCTGTATGCGACTCTGGTCATACTCCCGCTTGGAGGGAGGCTCCTGGCTGGGAGAGGATGGAACCGGCCCTGGCTCTGTTGGTGGAGACGGCCGAGAGCCCACATTACCACCATACTTCTTGGCTCTCTCTGCTTTGTCTCTCTCAATCTTTTCTCGGACTCTCTGTCTGGCTGCTAACTCTTCAGCCTTTTCCCTCCTCCTCTCCTCAGCAGCCCGGCGCATCTCATCTTCTTGCAGCCACTGCCTAGCAGCTGACAACTCTTGTTCCCCTTCCATAAACACCCTTCCATAAACAGTTTTCTACGTTATTACAAACCCTTCGCCTTATCTTTTACTCCATGGTATTCCATTAAGGGGGCATTTCCAAACTTTATTCAGTGAATATTTCAGTTGCTTCCAAGTCTGAACTATTATAAATAATGCTTTGACAATCAACTTTGTACATAAAGCTCTTTCTGGATCAAATTTTCTCAGGGTAGATTCCCAGAAGGCGAATGACTAGGTCAGAGAATACAAACAATTTTAAAGTTTATATATGCACATTACCAAATTGCATAGAAAGCATGTTGTTTGCTTATAAAATTAGTTTGCCTTTAAATTTAATTTCATTTTGAAGTAACTTTTATTATTGTCCTATTGTAGATGGGGCATATTCATTACATAAAAATCAGATGGTACAGATATGCAACGAGAAGGAAATAAAGAGCATGAGTAACTTGAGCCGTCAGGAGTTAACCACACATAGACTTCCAGATATTGCTTTATGCATTTGAACACTGAGACTATAGTTTGCAAACATATAGGTCAAGCTCCGTAATGTTACAAAGAAGACCTGTCACAGATTACTCTCAATAACGGGATTTGTTTCGGGTTACACAGGGATGTGGGTGAGGAGGGAAGCTGTTTCACCTGCATAGAGGCTGTTCTGAATGCTTGCATGGGAAGGATTCAGGAAGGCCAGGTGGGGAAGCCAACTGGGGCTTTCTCTTGGCCCATCTAATCCCAGTTCAGAGGATTAGATGGGCCAAGAGCCCATAAAAGTAAAAAGGCTGTTAGCATTTTTACTTCCTGTAAGAGAGATTCGACTGGGTTGGTTTGGTGCCCTCCAGGTGGAACACGTGTACATTGCTTTTGGGTAGAGTTCACTCCAAGCCACCTGCAGGCTGCTGTGTCCCTTCACACACAGCCTGTGTCCCTGGACCTCGTGCTCTGGTGTAGGATCATCCACCAGCTGGGAGGGGGTAGTTGACTGGTTCTGCTCCCATCAGCCAACTCTCGATGCAAAGAACCAACACAAGCTGTTTTCCTCTCAAGTGCAGGATCTCCGGGGCATGTCCATTTTCCAAATGTCATTCACATTGCTGTCAGCATAACTTGGTTTTGTGATCCACTTTATTAACTTAACACTAAATGTCAACGTGACCTTTAGCCTTCCCCAGTATGAAGGTGCCAGAAATTATGTATCCAGTCCCTTGCAGCTGGATCTCAGGTTGCTTCCAAACAGGGGTGACAGATTTTTAATAACAGCGAATCTTTTATACACAAATTCTTTTGGTTTCTTTCTATCCCACATGTGTTTTCCCCTCTCTTTTATTTTAACTTTTGTAAGTCATTTTTTTTTAAATTGAAGTATGGTTGTAAGTCATTTTAAGTGTGCATCTTAAACAGATCTAAAGTTTTTGTTTTTAGGGCCACCTGGGTGGCTCAGTTGTTTAAGCATCTGCATCTGGCTCAGTCATGATTTCAGGGTCCTGGGACCGAGTTCTGCATCAGGCTCCCTGCTCCATGGGGAGCCTGCTTCTCCCTCTGCCTCTGCTGCTCCCTCTGCTTGTGTTCTCTCTCTCTGACAAATAAATAAATAAAACTTAAAAAAAAAGAATTTGTTTTTAAATTAGAAAGCTTGACCTATTCCTGTTAATTTTAATAACCAAACATATATTGTCTGTTTCTTTTTCAAATTAATTTATTTTATAAAGAAATCAATGTATTTGAACAAAATATTAAATTCACTCATTCCTCTCATTTGGCAAATGAGTTAATTCATGGCTTGGGATGAACTCTACCCAAAAGCGATGTACACGTGTTCCACCTGGAGGGCACCAAACCAACCTAGTCGAATCTCTCTTTCAGGAAGTAAAAATGCTAACAGCCTTTACCGAACTGGGATTAGATGGGCCAAGAGAAAGCCCCAGTTGGCTTCCTCACCTGTTTTATCTTTTCTATGCATATTTGATTATGGTTTTCTTTTTCATCTTATTTATTTCACCCCTCAAGTTTTGTTTGGAAATAATACAGTTTCTGATTTGGAAGAATCCATTTCATTTTTCTGCTAGCTATCTAAAAATAAAAAATCCATGCATCTCTAATAAATGAAGAATAGAATCTTTCAACGTTTTCCAGAGAGGTTCATACATTTAAAAGAATTTTAATTCCTGACTCCTGAACTTATCAACCAGATTTTATAGGAAGAAACAGATCACGATGTACAAATAAATACATTTTATCCCTCCTTATTCAAGAATTTCAAGGAAATGTAAAATTCCAAGAATTTTAATGTTTTCACTAAATTTTATGACCATTTGTTCAACCATCATTTGCATATAAATTATAATTTATAGATTTTATCATCATCATTTTGTAGATCTTCCCTATTCTTTAGTGCATTATTTTTATTAACTTATTATTCAGCTATAGTATTTCTTCACTGAATTTAATTAGGGAAGATATGTGGGCAGTATATTTTCTCAGTGCTTGCTTGTCTCAGAATACGAGGATTTCTTGATTTGATTTTCTAATACCTGAAGTGTTTTTCTGTACTAGTCAGTCTGCTACCCACTGCCTCCACTTTAAAATTAAACTTTTATGGAAATCCAGTCTTCTCTGATCTTATTTCATCCGTCTTTTATTACACTATTTATGCTCAGTTAAAGGGAAAAGGAACATTTATATGTGTAGTATGTGTGGTTGTCTATTACTGCACCTTTTAGTTTCTTTACTTATACAGTTAGCTCTTTGAATCAGAGTTTAAGTTCTGTGCATGGATTAAATGATCCTACAGTTAGAGGCAGACTATCTGGATCTATTAAAATGCCCCTCCCCCATTTTTGCTGCATTCTGAGCTCATCTGGGGGTACTCTTCTGAATATTTGTTCTCACTCTTTTATCTGAGCTGTTTCCATAAAAACTTTATATTTTCATAGATTCAAACCTACTAATCTTCTGATAAAAACATACTAAATTTCTTATCTTGTTTCAGAGGGGCCCCATCCCCCACAAAGCTGAACAAATATTCGCCTGTTTTCCTCTGATATTTTAAATTTACACTGATACTCAAACCTTCTGTAAGTCATTTTTGTGTCTTTGCTGAGGCAGAAGTCATTCATTACTTTCCCTGGAACAGCCAGCCAGTTGTTTCCGCGCTATACTGAATCCCCCGCCGTTTACCCACTGGCCTCTAGCACTCCCTTTACCATATGCATCTCCATCTGAACCAGCCGCTCTTTCTGTGTTTTGGATTTCAGTGAGATCTAACAATATCTGGGTGTCAATGAAATATTTTGTTGATAATATGCCAGTCACAAACTGTTATGGTAGTTGCTTTTAATGCAGGGCACTAAGTTTTCTCTTTAAGTAAAGCTAGTCTTCTACAAAAATTCATTTTTAACACAGGATTTATTAGCATCATTTGGTTAAATTTTACTCTACGCTTTGCAAGTCGTCATTCATCATTTTTTTTTCTTATGTCGTCTTTCTCCATCTTGAGTTCTTGATCTGACTTAATTTTCATTTGGCTGAAGTCATTCCTCAGGTCTTTAGCAAGAGCCCTTTGGTGCTATGCTTTCTGAAGTTCCATGTTCCTAAAAATATTCTCCTTCCCCCCCACCCCAGGTGAAGGATTTCTTTACTGGTTATAGATATATAACACACTCACAAGTGTGTGCATATCATTCCATCTTCCAGGTTTACAACAAAGAAACCTGATATGTCTCTAATTTTCTTTTTTATGTAAGTAATCTTTTTTTCTTTCTTTGTTTTTCTTTCTTTTTGTTTGCTTGTTTTTTGTTTTTGTTTTCTGGCTGCAAAGATGGCCAGCTGCGGCCAGCTGCTTCTTTCTGTAAATCAAGTTTTATTGGGACCCAGCCATGACCATTCATTTCCGTATTGTCTACGACTGCGTTCACAAGTATAAGATGCAAGCAGCGGGGGCTGTATGATTCACAAAACCTAAACTAGTCACAAGCTGGCCCTTTCCAGGAAAAGTGTGTTGACCCCTTTCCTAACCTAAGTCACAGAACGGATGTCCAGTGGTGGCATTTCTGATCTGACCCAAGAGCAGTGGGGGAGACATTCTGGAATGTGGCGATCTTGGGGGGGTGCTCTGGCCACCACACCGTGACTGGGCCTCCTTACAAAGAAGGGAGACCAAGCTCGTGAGCCTGCCTCCGAAAGGATGAACAAGCCAAACATCTGAGACCCAGATGGGTCTGTACCAACTGTAATTCCAAACAGTCCGCCGGTGCCAATTTCATTCTCTGTGAGTGAGGTGGGAGCCAGGCAGGGAGAAGAAGATGACCTTTTGGAATGGCTTTATAAATTCTGTGGCAGATCCAGCTGTCATGTTATCGAAGCTGCTTATTGCATGAGAGCAACACTTCCTTCAGAGCAGTGCACTCTTGCTAGTGGAAGACGTTTAATTTATAAGCTCTCTAATTTAATTTTCTTTGTTTGGACAGTCTGTAATTTGGTGCCAGAAAGAAACCCTTCGAAGAGCTTTGTTGTCTCAGCTGACAATTACATGGCTTTAAGTTGCCCTACCTCCCAGCCTGGGAACTCACACTTCCGAGGCAGATTTACATTCTTTTTCTCTTTAGGTGCTCTTTCAAATCAGCACTTGGGTGATAGCAATTTAGGCAGACAAGGGAGCTCGTCTAATTCTACTTATGCCAAATTATGTTTGGTACAAGGGAGCAGAACATTTTAAATCATAGGATCCAAAAACTACAACTTCTCTCAGAGCTCCTAATTGGGAAAGGTGGCATATTCAGTAACACCCTGGGGCCCCAGGGAGAGCTGATTTATCTCACCAGAAGGAACAATTATTATCAAAGACCAGTGAGCTTGGCTCACTCCAGAGAGGACCAGACTCACAGAAAGGAATTGGGCTTTTTGGAATACTGCATTATTCTAAATTTGCTTTCTGTTCCATCTACAAGAATTTAACTTGCATAAACCACTGAGCAAGCAACACGAGTTTCAAGACCATTCTATAGTTCACT